AATATAAATGGTATATATATATTTTTGTCAATCATACAAATGGTATATGTATAAATTATAAAAAAGTATGATTGTAAACTTATTTTTTATGAAAACTATAAATTAATCAAAATCAATTTAAAATAGTGATAGGCAATTATATGATATAAATATTGGTAAAAAATTATATGAGAAGGATAAGTGCGGCGTGAGCATAAAACCTCCCGGTAAAACTAACCGAACACTACATATACGAGTTATATTTCTAAATGAGCTTAATTAAACCATAATTTTGTTTAGTTTGTTAGGGTTAAATTTTTTCTAGGGTTAAGGTTCACCACTCTTAGAGTTTAGTTCCTTTTAGTTTCCAAAAGAAAAATGAGTTTTAGATGAATTTTTAATTTGCTAAAAATATAAATGGCATATATATATAAATTATATAAAATATGATTGGAAACTTTTTTCTGTGAGACTAAATATTAATCAAAATCGATTTAAAAAATAGTGATAGATGATCATATGAGATAAATGTTCGTAGAAAGATATATGAGAAGGATAAATGCGACGTGAGCATAAAATCACCCACCAAAACTAACTGAACACTACATATACAAGCTATACTTCTAGCTAAGGTGAATCGAACCGTAGTTTTGTTTTGTTTGTTAGGGTTAAGGCTTCCTTAGGTTTAAGAATACTGATAGAAAATTATATGAGGAGGATAAGTGCGACGTGAGTATAAAACCATCCGCCAAAAAAAACTGAACACTACAGATACGAGCTAGATTTTACTGTAGCTTAACTAATCGAACCATAGGTTTGTTTGGTTCGTTAGGGTTAAGGCTTCCCTTGTGTTAAGGCACCCCTTGGGTTAAGGCTCCCCACACTTAGGGTTTAGTTTTTTTTTTTTAATTTGCAAAAAAAAAAAATCTTTTGATATATATTTGTAGGTTTAAAGTCATGTATTAGAGTATATAAACTAATTAATATCTTATGTAATATTGTTTTGTTATAGTTTTGTAACATTACGTTAATTTATCAGAGTTAACTCTTAATCAAGCTGTAATCAATAATAAGACATACCTACTATTAGAAAAAAAAATTCGTAAGATAAAGAACAAAAAAAATCAAATATAAGCTCATCGATTAAGTTGTTTTAAGTTACTTTCCATGCATGATATCTATGGACAAGAGAAGAAAGGAAGTTCGACAACAACTGCAAGCTATTACTCATCATTTCAAGCCGTTCAAGATAAATAAATAACATACTGAAGTTATAAACCGATAAAGATATATGTGTCTTAGCTTAATTTTTTTAGTTATATATGTGGTAAACTTTTACACAATAATATTATTATATCCATCGTCACAGTCTTTATAAATCAAGTATTTATTTGGTGATTCGTTGTGTACAAAAACTTCAACATTGCTAAGTCTTAGAAAAGAAAAACTGCGATGAATCAATGAATTGAATATTTTATCTATCTTATGATACTTTTTTTGTGAAGCATCAAATGAGTCCATGTATAAAATTTTAATGATTATTTGTGGTCATGATTTAGTCATTCGTACTAAGTTTTAGCAACCCTAATCAACAAATCTAATGGTATAGGGTGGTGGTTTAAAAATATCAAATTTTACTTTTTCATATTTGGGTTTAGGCTTCAATGCTATAGTTTACCGCTTATGATCTATATATTGTTTTTGGTGTTTACGTAGGGTTTAAACTCCCAAGTTATGGTTGAATACCTTTTAATGTTTTAAAAATTGATGATATAATAATGTTTCACATGATATATTGGTAAGTTTATACTGTCCCGCCCATGGAGCTAGTACTGTATTTATCATAGACAATAATCAGGGTTTTGTTCCACGACATTAATCTTGTTCTATTCACAGAGACCATAATTTTTCGGTTTGATTATGTTCAATCTGTTTGTTTCTCATTGTCCGTTGTAGCTGCATTTATCTAGTTTCCGCTACGTCGCTATTACTATTCAAAACTTTCATATTTATTCGGCA